GACTTTATGCATCAGAACAGGGATCAGAATAAGGAGGTCAAGGTGCCTGCAAGGAAACAGCGCCAACAAAGCAGCCTTAAACTTAGCTTATCTCGGGGAAAGGTGGAAGATTGCATGTCACCAATTAATATGCCCCCGCGCACTCCTATTCCTCAATCGCCTCTTGTTCGAGCCAGGACTTAGCTCGAGCAGCTCCATCAAATATGCAACTGAGGGAAGTATTAGGCCCTTCCCATTTTTCAGACTAGGTCTTAGTTTATTGACATTGTTATTAATTTGTAACTAAGTTGGGGCCAATGCATTCTTTCCCGTGGAGAAAACCTGTATACAATCCTGTAAAACATACAGGACTCCAAGGGTTCATACATCACCATTCATTTACTTCAATAAATGTACTATTTTTGCCTTTCTTCACTAGCAAATTGCTAGTGAAGAAGGTTTATTGCTTTTCCTTCAAAAGTGAATAAAATGAAGAATTTATGCAGCTCAAGTCCTTGAATATCCAGTTTGATGTTTGAATCTTAGAATCGTGTTTTAGAAGAACCTGATAACAATATAGAACTCTGTAAACGCCAACGTTATCCCTGGAGTTTCATCTATTTGTCCTTCTATGCATTTTTTAAAGTTGCATAGACAGCTATTACCAGAACAAGAAGCTTGAGATACTTAGTGATGAATCTCTGCTTAAGTTAGTAGTTTGAAGCATTCGTCATTAGATAATAATTATCATTTTGGTTCCCAGTATGAAGTATAGTTTAGCTTGTTATCTGTTCAGATTATACAAATCATTCATGCTTATTTACTGCAATTTGATACATGTCAGGTGAGACTAATGCATGAGGCAGGCTACGAGATTGGAAACTTGGATGCTACCTTAATCCTTCAAAGGCCAAAACTCAGTCCTCACAAAGAGGTTATCAGGGCCAACTTGTCTGAGCTGCTAGGAGCCGACCCTTCTATCGTAAATCTCAAGGCAAAAACACACGAGAAGGTCCGATAGCCTTGGGGAAAATCGAAGCATCGCAGCTCATACAGTGATCCTTTTGATGAGAAAGTAAAACCTGCCTTTGGATGACATAATACACTACAAGAAAATTTATATTTAGTGACTAAATTATTGATTATTAAATTTTTATTTTTCGTCACAAATTATTATTAGTGATAAAATTTAAATCGTTAGTAAAACCCTTATCACTAATGCTCTTAGTGACAAATTAGACACCTGTCACAAAAAATAATTTTATAATGATAGAAAAAATTGATATTATTAACAAGTTATTTATAACAATTTTATTCGTCATAAAAAAAATATTTGTCACAAATGCAATTATGATG